AACTTTGTGTGTGTTCATGTGTGTATATTTAAGGAGGTTAATTAAGCAAAACGCCAAAAAATGAAAACTTAAAAAACCTCACAATTCGGATCTTGCATCTCTAGGCATAAACATTTGATAAAAATAGAAAATAAATATTCATAGTTTGTGAGGAAGCAAAATGTTCTAAAATGATATAGATGCCCAAACACATATGCATCCACAAAATCTATAATACATGTACATATGCATGCATATATATACATATATAAATACTATACAAAGTAGGAGAAATTTAAAAATAAACAGAAGTTAAATGTTTTTCTTTTACAGTATCTTCTATACATCTATATATTATAAAACATAATTATATATCCATTTAAGATCACCAGTTTTTTATGTTACTTGCTCCTTGAAAAGGACTACTGTAAATGTGGTAGAAATAATAAATGAAAAGTAAGCATATTCCCTTTGTATGAATAAATACTTGCACATCTCTATTCAAGAAAACATTTTATCATATTCCCCCTGATAAAATGATACAAAAATTTGTTTAATTGGTGGAGTGAGGGTGTGGTGACATATAGAAGGTTTCAAAAGAAATAATAAAGTCCTTGTTAAGATGAACTGAAAGTTTCTGTGACAAAGTAAAGTGCCCTGTACTGAAGTAAATGTGGCTTCTAAGATTTACAGCTTTTAAAGCAGATTACAAGCTTTCATTCACTATTACTCTGAAATTTACTTGTCTCAGATATACTCTAATGCTTAGACTGCATAATATTCACCACTTTAGACAGGTTCCACCAGAAATGAAGTCTTGGTGCTAGCATTACATTTAGCATTCATTAAAATGTAAGGAAGTAATAATTATGAATCAAACTCCAAAAATAATTATTAAACCTCTACTATGTTGCAGGCAGATACAACTGAATTTTAATATAAAACATTAGTAAAAAATAATTGAGACTCCTAAAACCCATTAAACAATAGAATATAAAACGGAGAAGGAAGAAAAGATTCCGTTGGATCCTGAGCTTCCTACTAGGTAGTAAAATAAAAGTAGAACAGGCTTTGGAGCTGGACCAAACTGAGCTCTAATCCCACTTGTACAGTCAGCAGCTATAGAATTTTAGACAAGTTCATATAAAACAGGTGATAATGCTGCTTGGATTAAATAAGATAATGCAGAGAAAGTACTTCACATATTCCTTGCAGGGTAGTACATTATGATTTTTTTTTCATTAACTATGTAATTGGTAACATCAATGGAAACATATTAACTCTACTCCTGTATTTAGAATATAAAATGTTCTTAGTGAATGTTTGCCGAATGCATGAGCACTGAGTGAAATCCAAACTGTGCGGAGGCACACAACAAAGCCATGACAAGGCTGGAACACTTTCCTCTGTGTCATTCCTCTGAGATGAATTTCCTAGGAAACAAATTTTACCTTTGTAGTTGTTGTTGTTTGGCATGTGTGGTTTTTTAAGTACTTTAAGATCAATGTATTTTTTTCCCTGGTAACTAGTATCATTTCCATAGAATTAACTTTTATATATTTAACTTTTATATTCATAACTCATTATTATGATGTTCCAAAGTTATGCTTGTCTGGTCCCCCCAAAAATTATGGCAGGTTGGTAGAGCAAATGATTATCGGGTGTTTCAGCAGCAAACCAGATCGAGGTCCAGATGAAGGCACAGTTCTGGGATGAGAACACATTCCATAGGTTTCCTTCAGCCTTCAATTCCCCTTAACTAGCAGGCTCTTCCTACTTTTCCATCATGATTAACATTCCCAAGTTCTTGCTGGCATGTGGCCACTCTTTTAGTCATCACCTTAGGCACAGTGGTTAAGTCAAACATGGACAAAACTGTGAAACACCAGCTCTGGGCCTGAGTCCTTGCTTTGCTCTGTCATTAGTAAGTTATGTGACATGTGATATAAATTTCAACCGGTTCTCTGTCTTCTCTTTTGTTCAGAGAGACAAGATGGTGGTCATTAAAATCATGGGCTTTGTGGTCAGAAGTGTGTGGTTTCATAACCTGCCTTTTCAATTTAAGAGCATTATACCTTTACACAAATTACTTAACTGCTTTCTATACCTCATTTTCTTGATTTACGAAATGAAAATTAATAATGGCATCTAGTTCGATGACGGTCAATTAGACATCTCTAATATACTTATCAGAGCACAAAGCACATGGTTGGTTGTTGTCATTCTTATTATCATTATCATCATTCATATAATATTATCAACTGTCTTTCATGGCTATAATTGTAATCCTCTATACAGAAACTCTACTTTGTTTACAAGTCTAGAAGTCAGGAGTACACAGCAATGAATTAGAAAACAAAAAACAGAAAATATAATTGAGATACAAAAGAAGTCAGAGGAAACAGGAACTGCCAAATGCAAAGTGGTGAAACAGAGTGGATGTAATATAAGCATATAGACAATGTTACTAAAGAGATACCAAGTCCATTTGGGATGCTAGAAGACTCAGAAACAAAGTAAACTATGCATTTAAATGAAGATGACATATGAATAGAAACTACTTTATACATCAGAGGCATTTTCCGCAATACAGATAAACAAATGTGCTACATCTTTAAAACTACCACATTTCATTAAATTTGAGTCTAAGTCTATAAATTAGATGCATCTTATTTCTTTAAGTTTTCTGCAGGAAAAAAAAAAAGACAATAAATTGTCTGCCCTTAATCTCCAGTTCAAAGCACATATGACACACAAGCCATATTAAATCATGATGTTCTGTGGAATTAGCTCGAAAGTTTTATAATGTGAATTATCTGATGAGAAGCCCCCAAAGAAACAGTGAATACAAGCACAACTGTAAGATTTGGGGAAACTACAATTAACCATGAAGAAAATGAACTTTATTCATCATCAAAGAATCCTCTTACTTCTGTGAATTTGTTTTACAGAAATCAGCTAAGCTTATTGTTGTAAAATTCATAACTATAGAAGAAATAAATCAGACATGATCAGTGCGAAGTTATATGTTAAAAAACAAAACAAAACAAAAATGTTGCTTAATCCTGACCTAATGTTCTTCTAACTCAATATCTAAGAGACAGAATCAGTTGAAAGAAAATAAACTACATCGTACTTTTTTTAAAAAAACCGTCTACAAGAAATCAAGAGTCTATGATAAATCTATAATCTGTCTGATTCATAGGGACAGAAAACAAGAAACTTGGCAAAGCACAAAACTGGGAAAAATAATAACCCAGCCATTCCAGAATTGGTTTTCTAACATTATTTTTTCTAAAAATCTCAATTCTTCGTTGTTCGATTTGTTTTATATAATCAAGATCAAATGACTAGGAATCAGGGGTATTAAAATCAGAAGTAAAGAAACTTGTCTTGCTTTCATCTAAATGTGAAATTTATGTATTTCTTTTCTCTTTCAAGGGCAATACTCTAGATTTGACCCTTCTATTCTTGTCCTCTCTAAGGTAATACGTGTTCACCAATTTTAATTTTACTAAGAACTTCTGGTCTCCCAATTTCTGTTTCAAACTAATGTCTAAACCTTGCACCACTATGCACTATACTGCTGATGTTAATGACTTTTATGATGTAATGAATATTGGGGCTTGTGAGTCAGTAAGATGAAGAAGAACATGCTATGCATCTTATCTACGAAACATGCAGACTGCGAGGAGTCCTAAGATAGCTCAATGTTTGATATCTCATGTTATGAATCCAGGGACATATGGATCAGATTCAACAGTCAGGCAAGAATGATTATATTTTCTAGGTTGTCTGTGACATTCATACCCAGCATTTTTAGCTGACCCTTTACACTTAAAACTGAAAACAATAACAGCAGCAAAATTGGATTGGTAATTACATTCTAAAACTAAAGATTTTTATGTTTTCCCATACAAAATATAACACCAACACCAATGCCAGCTGTTTGAGAGACATAACCTAAAGAAAGCTAGAGCAGACGGCAGCCTCATTAGAATCCACAACTTATTTCTCTGCTTGATGTATTACATATTTTAAATTATATTATCTTATCAAATCAAAATGAGGAGCTTTAAGAATTAGAAAAAAATCAGAAAAAGAGAAATCCTGGATTATAGATGCTAGCATCAGCCATCACATCTTTATTGAAATAAATCATTAATTACAAGTGGGTCCTTGGTCGAAGGTGACAAACTTAAGACGTTGCCCAGCTCCTTGAAAGTGGTCTCCATGTTTCATCAAAATAAGAGCATCTTAGGATTTACAAATAGTGTTCTATAAAATGTTTGTATTCATTTATACTATACAAATGTTACAAGGAAGTATTTCCAATGTATGCATAATTATGAAAGTTACTATATAATTAGAAAACAATTCTTCCAAAATTTGAGTTTTCAAATTTCTTTTGAATTTAAAATGAAAAATTTATTTTATTTAATGCTCTTCTTAGTAATTAGAGTGTGACTTCCTAAAGACTGTTGTTTCATCTTTGTTTCAAAGCAAACTGTACTCAGAATTAGCTATGATCTATTGTCTGTGCCAAGAATGTGTTTTAACTTATAAGTTGTTTATGTTTAATAGTATAGCACCAAAATAGACTGAAAAAACAAAAATCAGCTTACTCTCTATTATCATCACACTACAATGTTGCCTCTAACATATTTCAAATCAAGAAAGTTACTTGATTTAAAAAGTAACATTTTGATAAGGGAAAAATATTTAATAACAAGATCATAATTTACTTTCTTACTTTCAAAGAATTTCATCACTTTAATGATAATGTAATATTGTTCTTTTTTTTTTACAAGGGCTGATAACATTTCACAACTTGAAAAGTGAACTTGAATGTGAATTTGAATAATTGCTATTTCACTCTAACTTGTTGCAGTGGGAACATTAGCTATTTGAGAGCTGACATCTAACATCTGTAAGAATTGTGACTTTTCAAACACACTAGCCATCAATAAATATCTTGGGTTATTAACTTTAATAGTGTTTCTGTAAACAAAGAGACCCACCTCAGGCTCAGGGCCAGCAATTGCTCCTTTGACTTCAGTAGCTCTCCCACTTTAAAACTGGCATAGCCCAAGAAACTTCGCTGAAAATAAGAGAAAGAATGGTTTCATTAATTTGAGGTTCTTTAATATTTTTGCTGTCACATCAGTCACACAAAATTAGCCTTTAGAAGAATAAAATATTAAATTTATTAGCTGACAAATATTTCACTGACAGAGATACAATTATCAGTAATATATCCATTTCGTGGGGTAGGATTAAAGGGTAAAAATGTATCATTTTCCTTAAAAGAAAAGAGACCAACAGGCTAGAAAATAACAAGATGTAAAATACAATACCCAGAACTTTTTCACTAACTATCATTTTCTCTGCATATGAAAACTGAGGGAAAATAAAAGATGATATATTTTCCATATTTACCAATGCTGTTGTTCTTATTAGAATTCCTCAAATCACTGGCAGCAACAACTTTGTATTCCAGATATGAGCAAATCTGCTAGTTGGAGCTATTTTTATGTGGGACTTTGTACAAGTTATAAATAGAAATGTTATATTTTCCCCCATCACAGCAATGTTTAAAAGCATTTTTTCCTTTGTTATTTCTTTACTAGCATGGGACAATTTCATTCCAGTACACAAAAGAGAATGACACTTACTCAGTTACATATTTTTAAATTGCTTTTTTAGCCTATTATATTAGATGCTGATGACCTATGAATATCTGCTTTCTACTCTTTTTGACTCAATGTAAAAAATAAAACTCCAATTTTTTTTTTTCTTTCCCAGAATAAAAAACCTATCATCTCTTTCTAATATCCCTGGCTACTTCTGATTTAAAAGTCACAATATTATGGGATAAATAACATAAAAAGGAGTCCTCATTCTTCCTTTAAGGTAAAGGAGTAAATATGAAAATATCAAACCCATATTATTTCCTGTGTCACTGCTGCCTACCAAAATGTAATAAAATAAGTCCATGCTACTTCTTCCATAACAGTCTCTCATCATAGGACTGCTGTCAAGCTGCACCAGAATGAGAGGCTGGACAAAGAATTTGAGGGTAACTATATCTTTTTAGAGGTAAATAGGAAGTTATTTCACACATGAAAAGCTACATCCACACTCAGAGATTGCTAGGCAGAGGAAAGAAAAGCTTTAAGTAAGAATTTTTCTCCCTCCTTTAAAATCTTTAACTTAGATGAGCTGTTCCTAAAAGGCTTAAAATCAAATATCTGGTAACACAGACTTGGTATGGTGGCTTAGCCTGTCATGCCTATAATCCCAGTGACCCTGGAGGCTGAGGCAGGAGGATTGCTTGAGGCCAGGAGTTCGAGGCTGCAGTGAGCTATGAGTCCATCACTGTACTCCAGCCTGGGAGACAGGAGGAGACCTCATTTCTTTAAAAAAAAAAAAAAAAAAAAAAGAGAGAGAGAGAGAGAGAGAAAAGAAAAGACAAAACAAGGAAATACAACTAACTCAGTTCTAAAGTTTGAGATACCCACACATTGTTAATGGTAAATCCAATTAATTGACTTAAAACCCAAAGACGTAGTTTAGAAACAAAGTTAGCAAAGTCTGAAAATTCTGAGACTAAATTATTAGGTGAGAAACATTCAGCAAAAAACAGAAGATTTGTGGAAACAAGTTCTGATGATAGGTCCATGAGTGATGAAGTAGAATGAATCAAGACAGGGAAGGAAGTTTGTGAGCTGCATCAACAAAGTTTGCAGAAATTAGGGTGACTTTTCAGCCAGGGTCAGAGAGGTCCTAAGAGACCCCCCTGAATAAAAGCATTTATGCCACCTCATCAGAGATGCCTTCTAGGACATGCCCATATAAAAGCACACTTCCCTCCCACATACACACTCCACTATTCTCTATTCATGTTATATTTTTCTCTATTGGCACTTAATGACCACTTGACATATATATTTGTTTATTTTGCACCCCTCCAAAAATAATTGAGAATTGAAGCTCTACGAGGAGCTTTCTTTCATTTGCTGATACACCACCACTGTGTACCACATAGTAGGTATCTGGTAAATACTTACTGATGAATGAATGAAGGAAGGAAGGAAGGAAGGAATGAATGAAAGAAAGAAAGAGAGAAAGAACAAACAAATGACATAGACACTAGCCTTCAAGTAGTTTAATCTAATAGATATAGGGAAAAAGCTACTTTTGCAGCTATTTATAAACTACTGTAATTCACTGAAATGTGGAAACTCAAAACAATTTTATAGTATGCAGATTGTATACTGCTATAGTGAATTTTATTTTAACATTTTGCATTTTAAAGAGATGTCTATCTCTCTTTCTCTTTCACTGATAACCACAGTTTTTAACTTCAATTCCTACTCATTATTCACACTCAAAGAAAAGTTTTAAGCAATAATAAATTTCATGACACCTCTAAATTGTAAATTATGTTCTATTAGGCTTTTAAGATTTTGGAGGTACGGGTGGTTTTAGAATTGATAAAGCTGGCTGCAAATGTCATGATTTCATTGCAGTCTTTTTGGCAATAAATGTAGCAAACAGCCCACATTGGAATGTAGCAGCTAGAGACAGGTGGAATTGCTATTTTCAGTCATAAACTATGGACTCACCATAAGGCACAGCTGCAAGTAAAATTTATGACCACAGGCCACTGAATGTTTCTCCTGTTCACTAGACCAGGAGCTCCTGTGGAAACAGGACCTTGGCTTGTCTATCTTCTAGCTGAGCCCAGTGTCTGGAACAGAGGGCTGCACTGTGAGCACAAACAGTGTGCCAAGAACAATGCCCATGAGTCAGGTTTATCCATTACAACTGTTGGCCACTTGCTTGATCTCAAAAGATAATGAGAGTGCTCACAAATAATACAATCTGTTAAAAATCAATCTGGATAATGATAGCATCATACCATTACATTCGGAAAACTTGTCAAACAAGAGGAGGTATAATTTAGGTACAAATGTTATCCTTTTTTTTTTAATCCTAAAAATAACTGTATGTCAGGACTGCATGTTGTATAAACTGCATTAATACAATTTTTAAAAATGTGAAGACATTGTAATTGTTTTATACTGCAGCAACAAACAATGGGATTGCTTACACATTCACTTCTGAGTGGGTTTCTTATTTGTTTCCTTCACCTCAGTATAAATAAAACTAGGATGCTCCCACCCCCAAAGTTAGAAAATAAATCTTTAAATGAATAATCTCTGAACACACTGTAGAAGAATGAATGAGAGTCTTCTCTAAAGCACATGATGCTAAGGTAAAAGAATAATTTAATAGAAAGCTACTGTATCTTTACTATCACTGGCATTATAATCATAGAATTTAAGATAATTTATTTAATTTTTAAATATTTTAAATATAATTCAAGGGTCAATGTTTTCTGTATCTACTTTGGTGCTGTTTCTATCAGGGGAAAATGGACAAAAAAGGAAAAGCTTCACTAGAGTTGGAGCTCAGAGGTCTGAAGTGTGACCTTAAATCAGTTATTCTGTCCAAAAATGAAAATCTGGACAATGAAATGACTTATTCCAGTCCCCAGGCTCATCATCTACTGCTAAGCATTGTGAGTTCTTATTTCCCTTGTCTTCTCGCTTATGAAGTCTGTGGTCTTAAATTGTGCCACTACTCTAGGCCTTAGTCACTGAAATAAATGCATATGATAACTTTACCTTTCTCATAGTTATTGCTATGAGAAGTAAAGTAATCCAGGCAAAGAAAGCCTCCAGTACATTGCCAGGAAAATAAAAAGTTTATCACAAATATAACTATGCATAGTGATTAAGATCATATAACCAGAAGTCAGATGCCTTAAAAGTATCTAATGTCCCCCTTAACTAGTTTTGGGGAAAGGCAGTGTTTTTTAAGAAGTCTATTAAAAATGCCTGCAATACAAAAAGAAAAACGTATGTTTAAAAATAAAAATTAGATTTGGGGGAATATAAATTAGAAGAAATTTTAGAAAAAAAATGAAAAAGGAAGAAACAAAGGCCCTAAGGTCCTATATAGTTATTAATATTGAGAAAATCTTATCTATGATCCCTTATGGCTGTAAATTATATTCGATTACATAAAATGTTTAAAGAACCTTAAGGATTGTTAAGCCCTGCTAGTCTGGAGGTGAAGGAACTGGGGCCTCTGAGAGTAAACTAGCTTATACATGTCACAGAACTAGTTAATATGCAGAAGCCAAGTTGGAACCCAGGTGTCTTGCTTCTCTGTCCAGCATGCTTTCATTCCCACCATACTGTGCCTCATTTCTAGGACTGGTAGCAATTCCCTTTCCTTCTGGCAGACTCTCTGCTTGCACAACATGCAGCTCTAACCTCTCTTGCCTGCTCATGACAACACAACCCTCACAGTTATTCTGGTCCGAGAACTCCAAAGCAGATGATGATTAAATTGCTTGCTGCATTATTTCAATCACTCTCACCTGGCTGGAGAGTAACGTCAAACAGGGTGAAAAAAAAGTGGGGCATCTGTCAGAATCCCAGGGAGTGTCCACATGAACAGTGTATCCCACCAATACCTGCAGCCACTCTAGGCAAGTCACAGATATCGAGACTGCTCACTAGGATTTGACACTTCCATGCAGCAGTCCTCAGAGGCTCCCCAGTCACATTTAAGGGGGTCAAAGAAGGTACAACCCCATACATATGGCCACAGCTGGCCGTACCTCCATCACTCATGTTCTTCTGGCAAAGCCTTTATTCAAAGCACAGGTTTTCTTTATATTACAATTTGCATGGACCTCCTCAAATTTATTCGACTACTGTCCAGAGCTGTGCTACCCATTGAGTAGCCACTAGTTTTAGCACATAAAATGTGGCTACTCCAAGTTGAGATGTACCCTAAGTATAAAATACACACTGAATTTAGAACACCTAGTATGAAAAAAGGAACATGATTATATAATTGTTTGTATTGATTAGATTTTGGAATAATATTTTGCATATATTGGGTTAAATGAAATACATTAAAAATTAATTCATCCTGTTTCATTTTACTTTTTAAAAGCACAGCTGCTAGAAAATTTAAAATTACATATTTGGCATGCATTTTCTGACACACATTATATCCATTGAACAGTGCTGGTTTAGAGGTTAAATGAATATATCAAAAATATTTTAACCCATCCTCGTAAAACTATATATAGAAACCATGGTGTAAGTTTTAAAAGGTCTTTGAAAAGCTGAAGTTGGTACCATACGACTGATACACAACATCTGTTACACAGAACTTACAGGCAGGTCTTTTCATATTTTCATAGCCCAAGTACTTTTTTTTTAACTGTCAACCATAACAGATATGGTTACATTATTTCCTACCCCACAGGAAGAGAAAAAGACTAAATGAACTATTAACATTGAAAAAATACATCAGAAAGAAAAATAATTGGGAAGAAATCTACTAAAAGTTGATGAATAGCCCAAAGGAAACATTTAAAAGCATTTTAACGTAAAGGCATTTATTACAGAATTTTATCTTTACTTGTGAATATACCTCAAAAGATCTAAGAGCACATACTTGTATTTGTTTGACTAAGCCATCAAGAAAATACTTGAGTACATCCAGTAAATTCTGTTTGAGAATGCAAAGAAACACACCTAACATATTTGAAAGGTTTGCAATAAAAAATCTAAGCTCTTTTTAAAAAAATTCAAGTACTTGAAGAGCAGAGCCTTTGTATGTTGTAATGACAGGGCCATTACAGGCTCTGTGTCCTTGGCCAAGAGCTTAAACTCTCAGACCTGTTCTGCAGCAACCAAGGAAATATTTTGAGGATTCGCTGATGAGATGTATATTAACAGGTGGTACTTCATAGGTGGTCAACATATGTTAGCTTCTCTCTCTAAAATAACATGTAATCTGAGAGTGTTAGGAAGCCAAGGCACGCTGACTTGTTCTTTGTTAAACTTATTCCTGTTATGCTCAAAACTTAGTTCTGAAGTCAGACTCGCCATTTTGAGTTCTGATGGGTCACAAAAGGTGTTAAGATTTTTACTATGTTATTGCAGTCATTTCTAGAATCCCCCACCCATTTATTTCTGGTGATTCTAAATATACATAAAATGGTTGGCAAAATAAAATCATGGTACACTCTTTGATTTATTCAATACATATATCATATATTTGCTAGCTTCTGAACACAAAGCCAGGAGTATTAGGAAGACTTGCTGTCATGGAGTACATGGAGCAGGAGCGTGGAGGCATAACTAATTGCCTACCTAACACCCTTTCTGCCCATTCTTCACTAACAGCACCTTAATTTTGTTTAAATGAGAATTGTACCCAGATTCTCTTCTAGCTAAGGGCCTCGGTCTTCCCAATACTAAGTAAGTGACAGTATACAAAATGAAATTTCCCAGGAAGTTACTGTTTTCCAGAATTGAGGGAACAGGCCAACTGAGTTTTTCACCCTTCATTCTTCACTCAACCCAGAATGTGATACCAGGGATACCATGGCCAGGCTGTGCACTTTTCTAAGAAAGAGGGAGCAGGAAGATGGATGGAGTCATTACTTGAAGTCACTTTCGAGTAGCTGAAGCCCTGGAAATTTTTCCCAAGATTTTTATAAGATGAGAAAAGCAAACCTGTTAATTACTTTCAAGCCACAATTTGTTAGGTTACTTACCGCAGGATGCCTTCCTAATTGCTAAAATAGGAATGTCACAGGATACCAGTTGAGATTTCTCTTTTAGTTCAGGAATCATAGATGAGTTTTATCAAATATGAGGACACAATATAATAAATGTACCCCATTGTATGCTCACATAGCTTTCAGTGTTTGAGGCCAGCAACCTGATTAAAATGCTTGATGAGGAGCCAGTGTAGAGATACTGGTCTATAAGTAGCTATAATACGGCCAGTCAGTATAAAGGTAGGGCTAGAAGAGAGAAGAGGTCAGCATTTAGAAAGGTGTCTGCTTTTGGAGATGTGGCTAATTTCTCTCTTAATCATCCCCCAGGAAAATACCTTTATCCTCAAAGCTGAAGTTAAGAGGGTCTGGTATCAAAAATCACTTGTAAAGCCTAGAGGTGTCTAAACCATGTTTACCTCCACTGAGGACTGATTGATTGTCTCTCCTTGAGTATGATTGACTATGATCCAGTACCTGATGCTGCTGGGGCTTGTAGAAAGGTTCAGCAGAGAGATGGCTGAGCCAAGAGAATAAACACACAATGGAACAGCCTGTTTATCTTCTATGTGGGACAGCAAATATATGTGAGTTTCATGTATTTGGACAGCACAGAAAGTGGCTGACCTGGAGCCATGTGCTTGAATAGCAGATCTCACAACAAAAGGGTGTGGAGTGAGGGTGGGCAGTGGAGGAGTTGCCCCAGAGCCAGGTCCCCCATGGTAGGGAATTATGCTATGGGGAGAACCAGACAAGGTCCCCAGGAATATCTACACCTGTGCCCATCAGGAGAGCCAGCATTTCAATATCTGCCACAGAGGACTCTAACAGGCAGCCATTGCCTGAGAAACATCAAGTCTAGCAGTAAGGAAATCTCACCCTCACCAGGGTCAAACCAAGAATAAACTTCCATCTCTCCACTCCTTCCTCTTGGCTATCACAGCTGAGGAATGAAAAGAAGAACTGGCAGGATGCATGTGGGACTCACATTAGGCTTCCTCCCCACTGCTCTTTGCTAGAGGTACGGAAAGCCTAGCCTGTATCTGAAAATGGTGGGAGGAAGTAGAAGAAAATAAAATGAGAAGAGAGATTCAAGGTTTAAAATAACTAAGATGTATTCCCAAGAACCTGAGTGAGAGAAAAAATCAGGAGAAATCTACATGATTAGCCCAAAATATCATTAAGTCTTCAAGCAAGGGAGATTCAACACAAGAGCAGTGGTGGAGTGGGGTCCAGGTGGGCAGGGATGACAGGAGAAAAAATTAAACCAGCTAAGCTTCCTTGAACCTTGATAAATAAATGGAACATCTTGATAAAATAATGTATTAACTATAATAATAGTTGTTTAAACCATCTCACATTTTATGAAGCAGTGTCACAGGTGTGATGAGAGTGTGCGTTAAGGATGGAGGGTCTAGTTGGAAGGAGGGTCCCAGTGTGGTAGTAGTGGAAGCATGTGAGCTGGGCCCTGAGTTGTGGGAGGCAGCCCTCAACCCCACCCCTGTGGGGTGCAGCAGCCCAGGCTAACAGAGGCACACGTGCCTGATGTGTGGAGGCCTGAGGCTGGGGAGAATTTCTGAACCCACTGGAGGAACTAAATGAAGGTTTGTGCCTTCAGCACAGAGATTGGTGGTGGAAGTGAGTAGCATAAGAGGTTGAAGGGACAGGCAGAAAAAGTGCAAGGATTCCCTCAAGTCAAAGCAGTTACTTCACCAGTCCCCAGGAAGAGATGAGAGGCTTGGGTTAGACACGAGAGAGAGCAAGACACTGCCCTTTTCCCTCTCCTTCACTAACAGCTGCAGAGATAACTGACATTCTACTCAGTCGAGTCAAACTTTGGTGCATAGTTTTGGAGTGCTTCCTTGGCAGGAGGTTTGAACAAGTGGCTGTGTTCCATGAGAAAATGAATGATTCCTAGTATAGCGCTCTACGCCCTGACTGGAAGAAGGTTGTCAAGTGCCTGCAGGATTTCAGGGTATGTCATATAGCTCTTCCAGTTGGCTTAGCCCCAGAGCTTCTCAGACCTAATTTACTTCTATATTTTTTCCTCCTCTCTGAACACACAGATCTCAGGGATTCAGCCTGTGGGGCTCTATCTTTTAGGAGCTGCCAGTGCCTACTCTAGCCTTGTCTAAGCAGAAAGCACCCAGTACTCTCTTTCTCTTCTAACTTCTGAATGCTGGAGAGGCAACAGTTCAGTGCAACAAGAAAACCTCAGCAGGATTTTCCAACACTGGGCTGAACAGCGGTGGCTGCCTCTCTTTTGACCTTCATTACAGTGTTTAAGTGGCAGGAAACAGAAAATATCACAATCCTATGGCTGGTTCTCTTCCTCCTTGCTGAAGTGGTGGAGATCACATCTGTAATTTCCCTAGCCTCCTGTTGGTCCAGGAATGTTGGCTCTGAATTACAGTTCAACTACCTGCAGGGCAAAGTCTAGGCTCATCTCTAGCCAGCTGAACTAATTATGAATTCTCTTGAGGATGATTTTCAGGACACACACACACAAAGAAAAAAAAAGAATTTCATTTTTTGCATTCATATTTGCAATTCAGCAAATATGTGACAGTGCCTCCTCGAGTGGCCACACCCTGTTAATGTAATTTCACTTTATTGTCAGTTTCCGGGCGTGAGGCCAGAGAAAATCCAAATGATTAATTTAGAAGTGATGTGTGTTCCTTTTGGAAGCATAAGAAAGACTTACCCCAACTTCTGGCGGAGGATCCTTATGTTCTGGTAGGACGCTGGTTCGAACCTGTGGAGAAAAACATTTTCTATAAGACTCTGGAGTGGAAACTAGAGCAGAAGCCTCACATAGATGCTGGGTTTCAATTTCCTTCATCTCGCCTCAATTCAGACTCTGTGGTTAATCATTAATGAAGTCACCTGTGTACAACACCCACGGCAGCACAATGAAATTGTGCTGTTACAGTTCCTGAACTTCCTGATTCTCCAACTGAACAGAGCTGCCTAGATCCTTGTCCCATCTCCTCTTTAATACAGAGATATATGGGATTTAGGCAGATCTCTTTAATCTCCTAAAAAGGCAATCTTCATTCAACGTTCAAGGGAAAGGAAAGAGCTGTTATAAAGAAAGCAATTCCACGCATGCACAATGAATGTTCCCAACACGAAGAAACGATAAATGTTTGAAATTATGGTTATGTTAATTACTGTGATCTGATCACAATACATTATATGTATTGCAATGTCACTATGTACTTCATAAGTCAATGTCATTTTTTTAATTAAAATATTATTCTCTGAGTAAGTGCCCACACTCACATTTCTTATAGGGAATCTTTCCCGCTTGAGAATTCTGAACAGATACCATCATCTGAATTTACCAGAACAGCAATTCCCAATTGTGGGAGAGGGGATTATGTAAGATGACCAGTCATCTGAGCAAGCTTTCCAAAAGTGTGTTCTAGCTGAAACACTAACTCTTTATATAATAAAGAGATATGTATCTCCTGAGAGGTGATTTGTAGTCCTGCCTGTACATTAGAATCGCCGAGGACCCTTTCAAACCCTTGGTGCTCCCATCTGCCCACAGATATTCTGCTTCTAATGTACAGCTACTGATTCTATGGCTCTCTTAAGAAAACACGTTTCAAATGAAAAAAAAAAAAAAAAAAAAGAAAAATCATGATTACCTTTCTCACTTCAGAAAAAGATAGTGAAAGTGGGAAAAACCAAAAAACTTTTATCTAGTACATATATCTAGCATATGTAAAAAACTTATATCTAGTATATATAAAAAACTTATCTTAATTTGAAATAAAGATGAATTAAACAAGTTAAATGAATACAAAGCAATATATAGGCACATCCTGTTTACTTGGGGAGAAGGGAAATTGGAGGGGAAGAATCAGGGAGCAACATCCTAAAACACTTAAAGGATCAACATTTTAGGGTAACATTTTAACAAAATCCCTTTAATCATACTGGTCTTGAAATCCCTTAAGTCTTGACATACCTGACCATACCAGGTGAATCCTCCCAGTTTGAAGGGATGCTTCTAATACCCCTAATAATGTCAAAGACTTGAATCAGCTCCTCATGGCCTGCTAATCTTTAACACAGTTGCTAATTCCTTGAAAAAAGCTGCAAGCTATAATAAAATGTGTGTCTGAACTTCTAGCTTAATACATTTTGTTTCTTTATGACAGATCCAGCACTATCGCTTGCACGATTTGTCAGTCATTATAACTCAAAATTGTTCACTCAAGCATAAATAAATGATGGAGATATCACAATGGAGTAAACACAATTTGTAGATCACACTCAACTCTTCAACTCAGGACTGCATGACAGAGTACTCACTGGCTAAGAGCATTTGCAGTTCGGTAGCTGCATTAACATTTTTTTGGCCCAGATGTGCCGTTCAGTCTCATTATCTGAAAGTCATCAGCTGGCCTCAAAGGATGAGGAAACTATATATTATAAATAGTGTGCTGTGGTGGACAATGGTGTGTGGGTATTATATATATAGTATGTACAAATATGGTTTCTATCTCTGTGTGTATACGTATAGTTTATTATACTACATACACATGTATATAGTATAAAGCGCTATACATTTAATGAATATTCATATAACATGCACCATATAATGCACATATGTGTACATATACAATGTTTAAAAAATTGACAGTCAAATAACATTTTCCAAAGATACACACTTGAATTTACAAATAAAAAAATGTCAGAAATTGCTAAGAGGGTCAACATACATCGAGCTTTATCAAATATTTGATTTGGGTCATGCATTTCAATATAAAACTGTGATTTAATGTTGGATAACGGTAGAAAATTGTTGACAGTTTCTGGAACACGGTCCATTAAACTCCTACATTTTAATAATTTTATAAGTAGAATATGCATTTCTTATAATTATCAGTAAACTACAGAAGAAAAAGATTCCTTATCTGCTTATATGTGTGTGTGTGTGTGTGTGTATTTTATATTCTTTAACCCATTACTGATGCTATGGTACATAGGTATACCAGTGATGCTTTTCTTATATAAAATACACCCTTCATTACAGTGAACACAAGTTAGGTAGCAAGCACCGGATTTGCCAGTGAATAACGTCCCAGTGTTTCCTGTTGAGACTTCAGAGTCTAGCGAGTGGGACATGTGTGAACAAGTTAGTACAATGCAATAAGTGCAATAATGGAAATATGGGCATTTTCCTGCGGGCATTTAGAATGAAGAATAACTATTTCATCCTGTGAGTTTCAGGAGAGGTTTCTGAAAAGAGGTGGTCTGGGTTTTGAAGGATGAGTAGGAGCTTTAGGCAAGGAAGGATATAATAAAACAAGCAAAGTTTTATGTAATAAGCATGTGTCATAGAGTTGTAAGAATTCAGGGGGTAGGGTGCGAGATTTGAAACATGGCAGATTACGTGGGCCAGTAGTAAACTGCCAAAACCACAGAGTAGCCCCCGGATCTTATCAGGCTCAGCCTAGATGAGAGAATTGACATGAAAATAGAAAACAACCAGCAGCTTCAAAGCAGATTACATGCTTATGATCAACATTTAAATATTATGTTGGCAGAAGTAGAAGAAACATCAGTAATCGGATAAAGAATATAAAATATATATACATAATATATATATATGTGTATATATAAAAGAAGATAAGGAATCTTCTTTTCCTTCTGTAGTTTATTGATAATTATAAGAAATATGTATTCTACTTATAAATGTAGAGTTCAATGGACGGTGTTGCAGAAATTGTCAAAATTGGCTACTATAAAAATTGATGATCAAACATATGAAGAGATATGTAAGTCAACAAAACTGAGTATTTCAATGCTTTTTATACAGAGAGATGGTGTTGTCCTGGTTCTCCCTACAGCGGAGGTTGGCTGACACAAAGAATTTGTGCTGTATGAAAAATAGAGACTTTGTACAATTGCCTCTTTAAATCTACAAAGCATTTCAAAGAGAAACCTGCATACATTTTGGTATTAAGAAATAATTCTGAGGATTTTTCTACTCTTGAAATTAATTAATTTGCAGATAACTCACGCCTTCTTAAGCTAAACGGCATTTTTTCCTCTAACTCTTCCAATACATATAATCAGCAAGAGGTAAAAACAAAAACAAAAATGAACAAATAGTTGATGCTATTGAGGCCCTGCAGGAGACGGCTGGAGTTACATATATTTGGGGAATTGGTTGGGGCCATTTACTGTAGAGGGCTGTTTGCCATGTTGTAGAAGTGGAGTTTTATTCCACTGAATTATTCCAGGCAATAGGAAATCAGGGAAGGCATTGAATAGTGGAGCGGCATGATCAGAGCCCTTGACACATCCCAACTCTTCCCGAGCCACCTTGGGAAAGTTACCAAACCTCTTCATGCCAGTTGCCTTTCAGCCTTTGTGTCAGTTATTTAACATGGAGTGAATAATAGAGTTGGTTGTATTCTCTCCTTTTCAGCACGGCAAACAGTATCTGACCCAGAGAGAGAAGAAAGTGTGTGAGAAAGAAAGGAAGGGGGGAAGAGAGAAAATGAAGAGGAAAGAGGGGAGGAAAGAAAGGAGAAAAGAAAGAAGGAAGGGAAGGCAGAGAAAGGAAGGGAGGAGGATCATGAGACAGAGAGGAAGGGAGAGAGGGAGGAATATGTCACTGAAAAATACTGAGCCCTGGACAGATTTAGATGAGACCTCTTGGTGAGAAACGGATCAGGCAAAGGCTGTCACTGTAGCATTTGGAATATTCCAGTTCACCGACAATGTCATGCCTCCTGAGAATTGCAAGCTTTCCTTAGGAATTCATTTTCCCTTTTTTGGTCTTATCAGCCGTTCTTCTTTCTATTTTTCTTCACTATTCCCCTCCTTGTCCCTTCCTGGAACATAAGAATGTCTTCCTGACTACAAATTTAAAACATTCTTACAGCTTCCTTTTGTCTAGACTTTTATGATGTTAAATAAAGCAAGGCAGACCAATTAATGGTAGTGATCATGTTGAAAATCATGTTACCTATTCCATCTTGAATATTTCTTAAGTTTCCTCTAAAACAAATTTCCTTCTCTATCAATCCCAGAAGCTCAAAAATTAAACTAAAATTATCTCCAAAACAAAACAAAACCAGGTAGCATATAGAGGGTTATTCTCACTCTTTCATGTAATTTCTAGAGACTACTTCACAAATCTGAATTGTTCCCAAGCAAGAGGCTGCTTTGGCTACCAATGCAGCAGTTGAACATAGGAATTTAATGCTCAAATTCATGCAAGAGAAACTCCTCAGACTAGTCAACCTTGTTACAATGAGTATGGGCACTGCTGCCCTGAGGGTAGGAGGAGGGTAAGGACTGCTCCATTTTTGTTGGTGAGTAGTTGAAAATCAGGCAGTGGGGCTGCCTGAAATGCTAGGAGTCTGCTGCAGATCCAGGTCCAGAGAAAGAGAAGGTCATGCCATCCTAAGTCTGCACACTAGGCTGGCAGAACCTGGACCTGGTGCAAGTGTTTCTGCTCATTGTAGGTGAGGAAGAAGCATCCTCCCTCTGGACAGTCTCAGCTGGCAGGCAAAGGGAAAGACATTGGCTATAGTGGAAGAACACCTCTGGGCAGAGAGAGAGCCCAGATCCTCTTCTAGAAAACTGTCACATCTGGAAATGTCACTGATAATGAATGTGTCTCATTTCTTAAAAAAAAAAAAAAAGTTATTCTAATTTTCTATGTATCTCAAATTAGAATACATCATCACATTTACTTGTTCAACTTGGGAGGAGACACGTAAG